GGGTTTCCACCCTCACTCGACGCCCACTTCCTAATGCGTGGGCTGCGGACGGCGCCGAGAGCCCTTAGCCCCGCCCCCCCGCTGACCTCCGCTAACTCACGGCCGCAGCCCTGGACCCGCCCCTCGCTGAGCCCCGCCCTCATCAGCTACCGGGCCTCCAGTAGCCTTGAGCCTCGCTCCCGCAGGCTTCGGGAGCCCGGAGCTCCGCCCCTCACTGAGTCCCGCCCCCGCCGACGTTTCCTGCGTCTCCGAGACGGCTCTAAGCACCGCTCCCATCCTAGGCCCGCCCCTTTCAGTTCCCGCTACGTCGCCGCCGCCGCCCTGAGCCCGCCCTTCACTCGAGCCTCACGCCCAGATCCCGGTGCACCCTCCGCAGTAGTCTACCGGCTCCTCCCCGACCCCGCCCTGTCTTGGCCTCATCCTGCTGAGCGCTTCCGGGCACAGTCCATCTTGCCACTGAGCCCACTTCTCTGAATGAGGGAACTGGAGAATGGGTGCAGTTGTTGGCTGGAAATCCTAAAATTTTCGGGCCGAGTCATAGTGGTCACTAAACGGAAGCCATCCCCTCCCCAGATACTGAGAGTGAGCCTGGACTGGCTCGCCGGGGAGGCCCAGCACGGGCCTTCACCAAGTCTTAGGATAACACAGGCAGGGCCTCCCTCCCTAGGGCAGTAGGGCTGTGTAGCCGGACCTGGGAGTGCACTAGGGCGAGTCCAAGTCAGCTGTGGATCCCCGAGGCTCTCTCTGGGAGCTGCCCACAGGCCACACAGGGCTTTTCTGGAGGGGTGGGGGGGTCTTCTCCAGCCCACCAGTGGATCACGGTCTGACGCCCATTACTCAGCATCCTTCATGCTGTGTCACGTCTCTGCAGTTAAAAAAATGTTGCCCACCATCAAGCCATCAGCCATTGCAGCACCTTCCTTGAGGGGAATTCAGGATGGAGAAACAGGATTTTGGCCTTAGTTAAGATGCGTATCTAAAGAGTAATTTCAGTGAGCCCAGATTTTTGCATCTTACCGAATGTGGAAAAGCACTAAGATCATTAATTTTAGATAACTGCTTTTGTGATTAGCATAACCTTTTGATATTTGAATACTTTTTTTTTCCCAGCAAAAGCTCCTATATATCCTGGCTCCTCCTTTACCTCTTTGGAACAGTTCCTTAGAGCTACCTAAGAGACTGTCTCCCCTGCTATAGTTCTTAGCAAGGTCCTTGAATAAAACATAACTGGCAACTTTCAGGCTGTGCTTTTTTTTTTTTTTAAGTACAACAGCTCCTAGCATTTGCTTCCCCCAGTACCTTTCACTCTCTAGGAGTGCCATAGGGTGGGGTCTGGACGGACGAGGGACACAGTGGGGAAGGGGGCGCTCTGAGGCCCAAATCCTTCCAGCATTCCAGGCCACTCCTACCCAGGGACAGATGGGGAAACTGAGGCTCAGAGTAGCAAACTTCTGGACTTCACCCAAAGTCCAGCAGCCAGGACAGGGCCTCCCAGGTGCCGGATTTGCTACAAGGTCTCACCCCCCTGGCAGAACAGACCCTGTCTCCCTCAGGCTGTGTACTCTAGGCCAGCAAGGGAGGAAGCCTGTGGCCTGGGCTGGGGGCTACCAGCCTGATCCCTACCCTACAAGTGGCAGGTGGATGATCAAAGGGTAGGCCCTGAGCACTCCTCTCCCCAGATTAGGGGTTCAGTGTCTCCCTCCTTGCCCACTGTCCCCACTGCCACTGCACGATGTGGATTGAAGGTGAGCACTTGGACAGGAGGCTGGGCCATCGGTAACGGGAGAGCAGGCCTCCTGGGGACCGTCACCTGATCTGCTAAACACGGTGGGTCTCACACACAGAAGGGAACACATTGCCCTGTGTGGACTCCTTGTGGCAAAATGACATCGCTCCCCACCTGTCCCTAAACGTCCAGGATGCACTGGCCCTGACCCTCACCCCTACCACTTCCACTTCTGACTTTTGCTTCCTTTGATTTTTGTAATCCTGGCAATGCTTCATCTGATCAGAAAGTAAATACAAGTTTAAATCAGGCAGGGAGAGCTCATTCCACAGGGTGCCTGCACTTGCAACTCCCCTGATCCTCTCTGGGCGGCCCGCCCCTCCAACAGGTCGGCAAAATCAAAAAGCAAACAAGAAACTGGGAAATGCTGGCAGCTCACTTCACTAAGGGCTCATCTCCCTAATTAACAAAGAGCTCATAGAAATCGGAAAAAAGAGTTCACCACTCTTATATTCAGAGAAATAGGAGACATGCCTAAGGAGCTGCTCAATTTCATTCACAGTCAGAATGTCATGTTTTATGGGTCCAACTGGCACAGATTTAAGATCCTGGTCAGGCTTTCTGTGGGCCTGGCTGTGGGAACACCCCACGGCAGGACACCACTGAAACAGAGCAGGACCCAATGAGGCCTCCCCAGGACAGACTCCTCCCTCATCGTGTCCTCCACCTGCCTCTTGTCTATAGACAAACTTTAGTCAAAGAATAAGTTTAATCAGAGAAATAAGAAACTGCAGAAACAAAGGAAAATAATCAAGCAAAACAAAATAACAATAATTCAGTCATTAAACAAAGCCAAGGACCTTTAGTTCCTCCTCAAGGGCTATAGATAATATTCTGAGCCACATCCTTTGAGCTATTTTGTAGATCCTGAAACCCCCACCAGGTGCAAGAAGTTCACTACATGATGACCAGACTGTAGCCATGGCAGAAGCTGCCACAATTCCCAGAAGTGGCCTCAAAGAATTGGGAACAAACCGACCCTGGAACCGAAGATTACCTGTACTTGGAACAATCAAAAATTGACACAACTTTGTAAACTGACTATACTTCAACTAAAAATATAAACA